GAATTGATGGAAGAGAGAGAGAAAAAATTATATCAAATGACAACTGTTTATTTGATTAAATCAACAGTAACAAAAAAGATAGTAAAAGGTAATAAGTTTAATTGATCGTGAATATAACCTCTTTCTTATATTTTAATATGAGAGAAAACAAGATATTTTATAAATTTTACAAACTTGTTAAGTTTTGTTTTAAGCAAGCGAGATTAGAGTTATGCTCTAATAAAAGAACTAAAGAAGAGTGTCGGTTGTAAAAAAAAGAAAATTAGTTAACAAAGTTAGGCATCATTGATTAAGGGTTTGATCCATATTCTATAAAGATATGAGTTCAAACCTCTTTGATATGAGAATTTTGTTGATGGATGATACATTATTTTTTTCGAAAATATTCAAAGAGGTTGAAGGATTTTCCTTGACTCTATTAAAATACACGTATCTAATCTCACTTAAATTTTATTTTACAAAAAAGTCATTTTTTTTCAATCACATTAATTGCGCCCAAACTCAAAACTTTTGATTTTATTTAAGGTTGATAAATTTCTTGTTACTTCAATCAATGATTAATTTTATAATTTAATATTTTTATTAACAATAATGCAATTTGTTATTAAAATTATAAACAAAAAATCAAGATTGTAATGAAAATGATAATTGATTCAAGTAGAATAAAAAAAATAAATTATAAAAACATATATATATATATATATATATATATATATTTTAAAAAATTAAATTTATAATAAAATAAATAAAAATTGACATGTGTTATTTTCTAAAAAATATATTTTAAAATCTTTATTTTTCAACTATTCTCAAGAAAGTTGATTATAATCTAATATATAAGGATAAATAAATTAATTTTTTTTATTCAATTTCACCTTTAACATATAACGTGTGCGTGTATATATATATGAGGTTTATTCTTCTTATGCCACATTAGAGAAATATTGTCTCCTACACATGGAATAAATGGTGGAATCCATTTTACTTTTAAAAAACAAAAAACAAATAGAATACAAAAATTGAAGTAAGAGTCGAAGATATAATTTCTCTTATGTGATATGAGAGAAATAAAACTCAATACATATATCTCAACGTATTAAAATGTGAACTATAGAATATATATTTATAAATATTTTTTTATATAAAATATAGCGTACATAATCATCAAGATAATATTACATAATTCAAAAGTTAAATTTTAAATTCTCAAGAAAAAAATTCTTTTATTTTTTAATTAAAGAAGAGATGTTATATTTATAATCTATTTTCATTTATAACTAAATCTTAAAAGTTGATTTTTATCAATTTAATGATTATATTTATTAGGAATCAATAATTAATTAATAAATATGACATAATATATTATAATTATTAAATTGACAAAAAACAACGATTAATATTTGATTGTAAACAGTGACGAAGCCGGCATAACAACCCGGGCCAATAAAATTATTTGATTGAAGTTATGACTAATTTTCAAATTTTATTACAGACATACACGAACTTGGCTCCTCACTTGTTGTAATAGTTTGTAATTTGTAAGAGAAGAGATGTAAGAAATATAATGGGAAAATATATTCTTATGTTGTAGAAAAATATTTTTTTCTTCTATACATACATCGATTTCTGTATTATTATTTTTTTTTCCTATACATACATCGATTTCTGTATTATTATTTTCCTCTTTTTGTATAAATGGGTGGGTTTCACATATGAGTGTCTCTATAGCATTAGAGAGTTTCACTATTAATAAAGCCGAAATATAATATTCTTCATTAAAAAATGTATAAATAATTAATTTATTTTTATTGTAATAAAACGTGTAAATATTTTTTTTCCTCCAACATATTACCTAGAATATAGAGGCTTTGTTGCTGTTTCTATAGATCCATTGGATTTTCTTCTTCTCCTTTCTATTTTGCATCATTGTCTATCCACATTCCCTTTTTCCATTATTGTCCAATGCTTCTGTCTCAGCTGTAGCAAGAAAATTCAGCTCCTGCTTCTGAGTTTCACAACACCCAACTCATTCATCCAACACCTATCGTTGTTATTATCTTCTACGGACTCATTTTTTTTGTTCCACAACCCTGTCTCAGACCAACTGGGAAGCTGATAAGATGCAAGTTTCAATCTTTTTCTTTTTGTTTATCACGTTCGTTACATGAGCTTTTTTGGGTCATGCTTAAACTGTGGAGTAAATACTATTTTTGGTCCTCAGGAAATCTCACGATCCTTGTTTTAGTCCCTGGCAAATAAAAATGCCTATTGTGGTCCCTAAAAAATTCAAAATGGACTCATTTAGTTGAAATCGTGGTCCTCACAAATTCAAAAAAGATCCATATTAGTCCCTAAAAGGACTAAAATGGGTCCATTTTGAATTTTTTAGGGACTACGATGGGTCTTTTTATTTGCTAGGGACTAAAGCGAACATCATGAAATTTGTTGAGGACCAAAAATGATATTTACTCTAAATTGTTTTTCCCTTCCCTTTGTTGATTCGGGTTATGGGTTTTCCCGATTCGTGGTTCGGTTTTGTACTTTATTTCTTATAGTAAAAGTACCATTTTTTATTTGTTAGGTTTTAAGTTTTGTTTTGGAGTTTGGAGGGAAAGGAAAAAAAAGGAGATTTAAAGGGGAGAGAGGAGAAGGAAATGAAGGAAATTGAAGGGTATTCCCTGCTCTTGTTTGGGCGTTAAAAAAAAAAGTAAGGCAGAAAAAAAGGAGGGTTAATGAGATATTTTTATCATTTTACTTTTTTTTAATATTAATATAATTTTTATATTTTACAAATTAAATTTAAAATTTCTAACAAAATTATTTATGTACTTTTCACAAAACTAAAAAAATTATATTTTCAATGAAATTTCTGCGTTGCAAACGGCAAAAATTTCATCACAAACTTATTTTTTCATCGGAATAATTTTTGACGAAAAGCGACAGAATTTTTTCTCTGATTAAAATTTTTATAAAAATAAATTTTCTATCAAAATTTAGTTTCCATCAAATGTTTTGACAAAAATGATTTCCTCCATCAAATATTTTAAATAAAAAAAGAATACTCTCAAAAATTTTGACGGAATATTTTTTGTTCAAAATTCCGAATGGAAATGTGTTCTCATAAAAATTTCAACGAAAATTGTTTTGTCAAAATTTTTGAAGGAAATGTTTCGTTTGAAACTTTCGACGAAATTTAGATTCTGCAAAGAATTTTGACAGAATATTTTTTCCATCAAAAATTTTATTGAAATATTTTTAGGCAAAAAATTTTCTGTTAAATTTTTTGACAGAAATGTGTTTCGTTGAGAATTTTGATGGAAATATTTTTTTATCAAAAAACTTGACAGAAATACTTTTCATAGAAAATTTTCTATGGAAATGTGTTTCGTTACAAATTTTGACGAATTTTTTTTGTCAAAAAGTTTAACGAAAATATTTTCGTCGAAAACTTTCAACGGAATTTGAATTCTGTAAAGAATATTGATGAAATTTTTTTTCGTCAAATTTTTTTGATTGAAATGTGTTTCGTCAAAAATTTTTATGAATATGCTTTTTTGAGAAATATTTTGAGGGAAATGTTTTGAGGAAATTTAGATTCCGTTAAAAATTTTGACTGATAAAATTTTTCGTCAAAATTTTTTTACTAAAATGTTTTTGGGTTTTATAATTCTCATTTAACATGAGAATTCAAATTTTCTTACACACCCTTCGATTTTCGTGCTGACATGGATCCTACATATAATTTTTCTAACATATGGGTCCCACATACTTTTTATCTCTACAACATGAGAAAATCAAACCCCAATGTTTTTAGTCACAAATTTTGATGTTTCATTGAAAATTTGATGGAAATATTTTCCGTAAAAAAATTTAACGTAATTGTTTTACGTCAAAACTTTTCGATGGAAATGTGTTTCGTCAAAATTTTGAATGGAAATATTTTCGTTGAAAGTTTCAACAGAATTTAGACTCTATCAATAATTTTGACTGAATTTTTTTTTTGTGAAAAATTTATGTTAATGATTAAGTTAAAATCTGGTTTCGTCTCTAATTTCGTATTTAGTTTTAATGATTTTTTTTTGACGTATATGATTTTTATCAAAAACATTATCACAATTTTTGTCAAAAAAATTTCGTCGATAAATTCGGTTGATATTTGAGACTTTTCTAATAATGTCACATTTAAAAATAATTTACATTTATATAATTTTCACATTTTAATGCTAAAGATAAATAAGTAATTTTAAATATTTTCTCTTTAAACTCCCAAATTAGAAAAACTTTAATTTAATCTTAAGAGAAAAAAGAAGATTTAGTAAAATTTCTCAATTTCTTCTCCTTATTTTTTTTAACTCTGTAAACAAAAAAATGCTTACTAAAACCTTCCATTTTTCTTCTTTCTACTGCGAAAACCAACTCTTAGGGTGAGTTTGGTACAAGAGAAATTTTTTGGTGACCGGAAATCATGATTAATGGGAATTCAGTAGAAATTGAGTTTACTTGGAATCTTACGAAAGACGTGTTTGGTTCGCCAAAATATTACCGGGAATATTGGGTAAAAATTACTGATTCCATATTTGGTTTAGAACGAAATATGACTTGGAATATGAGGTTATTTTACAAAAATAACCCCAAACTATTTTTACTTTTGTAATTGATAGATTGAGTCTAGATTTTTATGTGTATCGGGGTATTTTTGTCTCAAAATTTATTGTTGTGCTTTCCCTTTACTTGGTATTCTGATTGGTATTCCGAATTACCATATTATTTTTGGTAATCTGAACAGTGACTTTTCTTTATAAATCAAATTACCGGTAATCCTTGGATATCCGGAAATCGTAATTTATTCCTTCTACCAAACGTGGTAATTACATTTACCCAAAAAGAATTACCGGTAATCGTCTCCAAAAACTTGAACCAAAGACCCCTTTAAAGCCTCTGAACTTCGATTTTATGTAGTTGTTCCCCGGATTTTTGTTGTCTGTTTTGTGAAATGGTCGATGTGAAGTTGCAATTTTTCCTTCTCCCTGTTTACTTGGCTGATGCAACCTGTTATTGCTCTGTGAGCTCTCAGGTTAGATGTTTACATCCATGATTACCTAGTAAAGAGGGATTTGAAGGCTTCTGCTCAGGCTTTTCAAGCTGAAGGAAAAGTATCTTCGGATCCTGTTGGTGAGTTGCCTTAAAATTTCAATCTTATTAAAGAAAGAAGCTGGATTTAACGCTGGCATCTTTATTGTACTTCCATTTTGGTTTTGTCCATTTTATTTATTTATTTTTATTTATTTATTGGTGATGGCAATATGGGGTTGCAGCTATTGATGCCCCGGGTGGTTTTTTGTTCGAGTGGGTGGTCGGTTTTCTGGGACATATTTATTGCCAGGACTAATGAGAAGCAGTCAGAGGTTGCCGCATCTTATATTGAGGTTGGGTTGAAAAAAATTTCGTTTGTTCCATATTATGCAACCTTCTTTCATGCTAAATTTGAGTACAATGAGTGTGCTAGAAATTCAGCAAAGAAAAAGCAGTATCGTGACATAGTCACATTTTGAATTGAATGTGATTGGCTGTTGAAAAAGTCGAACTATGCCTTTTCTTGTATAACTTTATGCATTCCTTTGAGTATAACTTTTCAGTCTCTCTAGCTAACCTTATTGCACCTCTTATCTAATTGCTGTTTCGGTTAGCTGTTCTTTGCTTTCTTTGTATAGTTTAGCTTATAAGGAAAGTTAGGATATTTTCTTTAGAATCAGATTTTATTCAATAATATTGTTAAAAGATGATAAATAAAGGTATTTGACGAAAAAATGGAGTAATACCATGAAAGAAATGATGAGAGAACATGGATCGAGATGGATTGGGCATATTTTTCCAGACTCCTAGATGCTTGGTTAAGAACATAAGCTGAGAGTGATTACCAAAAAAAAAGAACATAAGCTGAGAGCTGAGATAAAGAAAGGAAGAGGTCAATCTAAACTTACTTGGGGAAAATTAATTAAACAAGACTTAATGAAATGAGAAATAGATTGGCGAACAGTTTGTCTTAAGGTAGAGCGGAGGAAAGCTATTAGCTTTGTGGAGGGATAGATTTTTTCTCTGTTTATTTATTTATTATTATTTTTTATTATATATACATATATACTAATTTTCTTGTTTATTATTTCTTTTCCCTCAACTTGTTCTTACTTTTATTTGGGTTCATTGAATGCTGATCCCAACTAGTCTGGGATGAAGGTGACGCGGATGTTGAATATTGTTGAAAGATGTTTAATCTTTATTTCCAGGTTGCTGTGACTTGCAGTATAATTTGACACTACAATCTCTCGTTTGAGCCTGTGATTATTTGTGTACTTGATGAGTCTCTAGTTCTATAATGTGTCTCAACCTGTTATAAATTCACTTGCCTGGCTAGGTTAATGATATTTCTCCTATTTGTGATGAGAACTTACATTTCCTTTTCATCTCCAGATTCCTTTTTAATGTATCATGATCAATTTATGTCTCTTCATAAGTTTTGTGAGGGGCCTTTGCGCCTTATTGTGGTGCTAAACAGGCAAATTGGTCCAAACTGGGCTGCTTTGGTCGCTTTATTAAACTGTAGAAATTCTAGACTATATTGTTTTAACCGAGTAATAACTAAGAAGTACCCAACCATTTCAGTTTGGATAACTTCTTCAGGTATCTATAGCTAATCATCTATTATCTTTGCTGTTCTTACGAAATGGCATACTGGAATCTATAATATCACGGAAGAATTTCTAAGATAAGAGAAAATGATACTGTGGTACTGCTTTAAGTTTATGGTTTGTGAAACTCCATTTGCAGACCCAATTAATTAAGGCAAGGGAGCAACAGCAGCAGCAACAGCAACAGTCACAGCAGCAACAACAGCAGCAGCAACACATGCAGACGCAACAGATTCTGTTGCAGAGGCATCAGCAGCAACAGCAGCCACAACAACAGCAGCAGCAGCCACCACCACAACAACAGCAAAGTAGGGATAGGGCTCATCTCTTAAATGGTAGTGCAAATGGGTTAGTTGGAAACCCTGGAACTGCAAATGCACTGGCAACAAAGATGTATGAAGAGAGGTTAAAATTGCCCCTTCAGAGGGATTCTTTTGATGATGCGGCAATGAAGGTAGGGGATGTTCTCGTTATATCTTACTATAAGATGAACTGCTGTTTTTATGACACATATGTTCATTGCTTTCTTTTGGTATATTATACAGCAAAGATTTGGTGAGAACATGGGTCAACTCTTGGACTCAAATCATGCCTCAATATTGAAATCAGCTGCAGCTACTGGCCAGCCTTCGGGGTGTTTCTCTCTCTCTCTCTCTCTATTTAAATTTTTTTAGCTTTTATTGCTTATTGTTTTTAGCCGTTCTGGAGACTCAATGTAGTTGTTCTTAATTAGTCTCTGGCTTAGCTAATTTAAGTTTGATCTGAAATACTATGATATGAAGCTTACTTTGTTAATGTGAAACAAAAAGATGATCTTTTTATCCTCTAGTCTTTTCTGGACGTTCTGCCTTTGAAGAATCAATGTTCATCTGCTCCTTACTAAAAAAGAAGTATTTTGTGTTCAGTTGTCTTAGCATCCAGCATTCTTTGTAGTTAAAGGTCTTGACTTTGTTAGCACCAAATTTCTTGATTTCAGGCAAGTTTTGCACGGTGCTGCTGGTGGGATGTCTCCACAAGTTCAAGCTCGTAGCCAGCAATTACCAGGGTCTACTATGGTATACCTTTTTTCTTAAGTAATCTCATTACTTCCTATATTTCTTATCAGCTGTTTTTCCTGATTGCCTCTTTGAATCAGGATATTAAGAGTGAGATTAATCCCATCTTAAATCCTAGAGCTGCGGGTCCTTTAAGGATAGTTGATAGCAATTCCTGGTATTTTCCCATCATTTTCCCCCTTTACTGATTTATGTTATTTGGTAACTGGTTTGCTGCAGGTGATGGAGTTTGATTTTTTTTTTTCCTTGTAGTTTGTTCATGGTTGGATGTAGATCTAATTTTAAATTTTCCATGATTTCTTATTATTATCCTTGCACATAAATGGAGTAAACGAGATTTTCTTGTGTCAGGATCAAATCAAGGTGACAACAATTTGACTCTGAAAGGGTGGCCACTCACAGTGAGTAATCTTTTTATTTTATATTTATTTTAATTAATGTTATTCTCCTGGTGGATATATTATGTTATCTTACTTTGATGTCATATCATATATCCTTCAAAATTGCTGTGTTCTGTAGTCTTCTTTGCAGAGAGTGATATGAGGATGTGGCCCTCCTCTCTCTCTCTCTCACGATGTACATAGCATATGAACCTCTAACCTAATCTTGTACCATCCTTACTACTTGAGTTGTGCCCAAGTGGCAGATGTAGCTCACCTTTGCTTGTATTTGTTGACCCTACAAAACCTCCATCATCTTCTAGAAATGGTGGCCTCTTCTCTGAAATCTCTATCAATCATCCTACTGAGTTTTTTTTTTTTTCATCGCAGCATCTTTAATTGTTGAGACTAATCAATTCAGTAATTAAGTTTCACTATTAAGCCTTTTCTATCCTTTGTTAGGGTTTCGAGCAACTACGCTCTGGTCTACTCCAGCAACAAAAACCTTTCATACAGGCTCCTCAGCCTTTTCATCAACTTCAAATGTTGACACCACAGCATCAGCAACAGCTTTTGCTTGCACAGCAAAATTTGGCATCGCCATCTGCCAGTGAAGAAAGTAGAAGACTCAGAATGCTTTTGAGTAATAGGAGTATTGAGAGAAATAAAGCGGCTTTGAATAAAAACTTTTTTGTGCTTGTGAGTCACATGTACAACCTTCGTTTAGTGAAACGGAGTTACCCTCACCGATGGTCAGATTCTTTTTTTTTATAAATATTCTAATCGATTTATTGTTTTATGACGAGTCGGGACAATAACATTGAGGAAGATCAAACATATGCTTCTATCTCTACCTCCTTATTTTCTTGTCACCAACTGATGTCATCATTCGGTTACGATTTATTCTTTTGCAACCAAAAAAGAATTGTTTAAGAATTTTTCTACAAAATTATTTTAAACAAATATGTCCTTGAGACCTTGACTCTTATATTGATTATAAGATATTTCCCAAATTTTAATCTTAGTTAATTTTATCCACTTCCACTCGAGTATGTGAATTCTGAATTCAAGATGTAAAAGAAGAAATGATTTTATTATTTTTATGGGATAAATTATTTTATTTATTTCTTTTTTCTCTCTTTTTTTTCTTATCTTTATTTATTATTCTTCAATATTATTATATCAGAATCTCGACAAGAGAAAAAAAATGATATAAATATGTGAGATTCTATTGGAGAATAATAGATAAATATAAACAAATAATCTATTCCAGTTTTTTCTTTTTGGGTAAGAAACAAACTAACAAATGAAGGATTACGACAACGGATCTGGACGGCGCAGCGACAGAGACAAAATTGTAGACGGCGCTGCTGATCAAAGGATGCCGACGACTTCTCCGACAGGTGGTAGGACTAGGATGATGTTGATATCGTCTTTTTTTTTTTAAATAAAATAAAATAAATAAAAAATAGAAATCTTCAATTAAAATTATTAAGATAAGAATAACATTAAAATTAACTTTAAAAATCATTGATATTAAATTTAAATTTTATACTTCGAAATATTATAATTGTGTTATAGATTTAAATATAAAAAAATTATATTTAGTGGTATAAAGATCTGAAAATTATATATGTTATGCCTTAATTAGCTGTATTGGTCAATTATACATTTATACGTATTTTGAGAAAAATAAAGAAAGAATATTTGTGTTAATATGGTATGAGAGCCACATATGTAACCTCCAGAGGTGTGATAATCAATATAGGAGTGCCTTGGACAACAATAATATAAATTAAAACTGAATAAAAGGTCCCAAGTGTACCGTGTATCAATGAAGACTGGTGTAAGTGATTACAATGGCTCTCCAAATTAACACGTAACAACTCATACAATAGTGATATTGTGTGTGTTCATAATGTAGAGGGGTTATTTGTAGGTCTCATGAGGTAGTGGCGGAGCCACATGTTATTTGGGGATGGCCTCGGCCCAGATTAAGTTTTAACAAATTGTACTTATCATGTATAATTATATAATTAATTAAAATTTGCTCAGTCTAAAATTGTAATTTGACACAGGATAAAATTTGTAATTTGATCCTATCAAAAAATTAAAATATATTTGGCGAGAGATTTAGGTAAGTTGTATTAAGTTATGTGTTCTATTTTCACTTATATAAAAAAATTAAAATATATTTAATAAAATTAAAAAATATTTAATAAAATTATAACTCTTTTGATGTTGTCTGCTAAAGTGTTTTGTATTTAATATAATTTAAATATATTATAATATAAACTAACTAAAATTAAAAAAAAAAAAATTACACATACTTTTTTGGCCCGAGTTCAGCCCGACTCCGCCATTGCATGAGGGAGAGAAATAAGAAAGTCAATTATTACGAGGAAGAGCCAATGTAACCTCACCTCGTAGGGACAAGACACTTTGCTGTTGCAATGCAAGCGGCAATGCTGTGCAAGGGGAGAGTGAGAGGGGAGTCTCCATGGTCCATGAATGTATTTCAGGTGCCTGAGGATACAAAAGAGATGAGAGAGTCTCCTAACATAAAAATATTTGATATTTTACATTGGGATATCTGACAGTAACACAGACAACAAAAGTCCTAACACCAGATGATAGCGTTCAAGTGGCTTGATCCATTCATAATGGACTATTCTTATTGTGCCGGCCAGAACTGTGCTTTTGTGGAAAAAAATTTGATCCTAATTTATATAATAGAAGATTGGAAGAAAAATAAAAATAAAAATTCAGGAACTCCAGATCCAGTAGTGTTTTTTATATGAAGTCCTAATTATCTCGATCTATGCGCGGGTAAAAATAACTTCGACTTCTATTTTTTTAAAGAACTATATATGACTCCTGTTTTCTAACTTACAATTTGTTATTGGGCTTTATTTCTTTTATATAGTAAGAGAGAAATAATTTTATGTTGTGAGTCAAAGTAGGATTCATTAATTTTATTTTATTTTAAAAAGAAACACATCTTTTTACGTGAGTATAACATGAGAGATAATATAAAAATATAATCTCCCTATGTTATTTACAATAACCATGTTTTTCCGCAGCTTTTAACTTGGGCAGGTTTACCTAAAGACCGATAACACACTGTAGATTAAAAGATAGTACTATATAAGCTCATAATTGATTCGCCTTAAACAGAAATTAAATAATCACAAAGAAAGAAATTAATTAATTATATATGTCCGATGAAGATGGTATCATGATATTCATCAGTCATTAGAATTGAGTTTCGAACATGAAATGCCGCCGTAATCATCTCGAACGACTGCACATGGCATGTTTCTTGAAGTTAGTGTTGAAACAAACTGATGATTTAATTAATATGTATAATTTCAATTATAATTAACATGAGTTGTTGTTTCATATGCTAAATCATCAAAGTCAAAAATTAAAGATTTAACATACCATTTTAAAGTAGCAGACTCCATGTGCAAGTTTGTATATATAATGATACCACCCGTTTCGCCTCACTGATGAAAATAGGTTGAAAATCTTAATGTGTGCCCTCTATAGCTTGTTGGAAGGCTAATTAATCCGATTTTAGATTTCAGCTTCTAAATTCTCTCCAAAAGTTGTTAAAACTTGTTTTACTCAAAGAAGTAAAGAGTCGAACAAAAGTCCAATGGATCAACCCGTCAACGACGCGTTCAACTTAGTTATTCAAGACGAGCTTAAACGAATTAATGGATTGATAATCTCAATCCAGCATACTATTGAGGAATTTAAGTGTGAATGATTGAGTGAAAAAGTCTTACATTGGTTAAGAATAGACTAAATGAGACCATATAAATGGAAGGACTCATGCACCTAATGTCTTAAGGTTTTGGATTTGATTGTAGTGTTCCAAATCCACTTAATATCATTGCTCACTTGGCTCATAATTCGTGGCCTCTCACCTAATGCCTTAAAGATTTTGGGTTTGATTGTGGTGTTTCAAACTCACTAATGTTGTTCTCTTGGCCCATGATTAACGGTCTCTCCCCGTTATGAGTTTTCCCTGCACTAATGGCAGGTTAAACATGCCAATTGTTTTTGCCACACACACACGTATGTATATATATATATATAGACCGTTATGAGTTTTCCCTGCACTAATGGCAGGTTAAACATGCCAATTGTTTTTGCCACACACACATGAGTTTGGTGTTTGTCATTTTAAATGACATAAGTTATGTCATTTTAGGAGAGAGATAGACACAGAAAAACGGAAATCACGGGAGAGAAAAAGTGAGTGATTTTTTTTAATTTAAAATTTAAATAAAAAAAAATTATGTGTTTGTCTCTCTCTTAAAATGACATAACCTTATGTCATTTAAAATGACAAATACTTTTCTCATATATATATATATATATATATATATATATTATGGTGTCACGAGTTTGATACTTTGATCCTTAATGCTCCTTATTTAATTAATAATTAATTAAATCTTAAATTTTTTTTAGCTAAGTGGACTTATATATTGTTCACTCTTTAAGTTCAGTAACTATTATATAAGGAAACATATTAAAAATATATAAAATAATTAAAGTAATCTCACTTATCAACTTAAACTTTTTGATTGAATTGATAAATATGGATGGACAAAATTGTTGTCAAGGGCATAGTGGTTTTGCCTGCTTTGCAACAGCACAGTTTGGAGTGAAGGGCTCGTATGTGCATGTGACAGTGAACAGTTTTGTCTGTGACCTACACCAGAAAACATCCAAGAGTCGGTTCATATTTTAACACAAATTCCAAGGCAATATGAAGTGTTTGTGATTGAAATTGAAGATGTGCATGTGAATGGCATATTGGCAATTTTACTTCAAATCTTAGTGCCTTTTCGTAACAAAGTATGTATATAAGGCCATGCTCACTTGCTAATTGCTATTCTCTCAATTTTCTTCCCAACTGGTCTCTCCACTAAAATTTCTGCTCAAAGACAAAGCCCCTCTATAACATGGGAAGCCTCTCGTTTCTGTTGCTGCTCTTGTGCTCTGCCTTCCATGTCGCCTTCTCTTTAACGGACGGTAAGCTACAAATTAAACATATGAGATACATACAAAAGAAATACTACAATTACATTCTTTTTAATATTTTTTATTATTAAACCACCCCTCATGTTGATCTTAATTGTTTTAATTATTAAAAAGGTGTCAAACATTACTCCATAAAATATAATTTGTTAAAGAGAATATTTAAAACAGACGGTTAGTAAATGCACATAATTGTAGCAACTCCGTTCTTTTAAGTTTCGAGTGTCAAGTTAATAGCAAAAATTTATTCTTTAAAGCCACATGGTGTTCGATTTGAACTCCAATGCTATACTAACTAAATTTAATCGTATGTTGTCATCCACATAATTACCAGTTAGCAAACCGTATACACAGTTACACACCCAGTTTGATACACTTCAGGGTTAATTCATCATATTTCCCTTAGTTGTTGGTTTCCTAGCTAGCAAAGCAAACACTTCCTTCACGTTGAATTAAGGTTAATAGCCTGTCTGATGGCGACATGAGTGTTTATACAGAAATCCTTTTTCAAATTTTTTTCCATGGAAAAGCACATTCTAATTAATCCATGCATTCAGAACGCTCTGAAAATTCAGATGGCCTTGTATGCTTACCGGGGATATTGTGAATGGACAGAGCGCACGTGATATCATAAAAGTTTTGAAATCAGTTCAACATTAATAGCAACTGGTCAATTTCAGCACTGTACTGGTAATACTGAATTGGGGACTCGATTTGGATTTAAAATATTTGTTGCTGATTTGCAAAAA